GTATTAAAGCTAGACTGCTGCAGAATATGGGAATCAGTCTTTGTCCTTCGATGAGATTTATCAATGAATTTCCTCATCTTGCACCTTTATACGAAATAACAGCCTCCGCACCAATATTATCTCAAGAGATTCATCAGAACCCAACCAATTTTTCGTATCTTCTGTGTGATAATGTAAAAGAGCCATATGTAAGATGTATTCATCGTGATAAGGGACCATTAGTTGAATTTCGCCACCATATGATGAGTAGACCTCACGTTTGCACTGAATTTCTTATGGTCTTGTAATCCTAAAAGATCTTTTCATTCCGGCTGAAGTGTACTGCCATTTGGACCTCGCCCGAACTGTTCTCATCAGCACCCCGAGTGAGACTCGCACCCGAGTTCTGGCAGTTTAGTGTTTAATCTCGACATATTAACCACTGCTCCAGACTGCTACAAGTACCCTTTGGTCATAGAGTAGACGTGAATGTCAGGCAGCGACATTTCACTTTCTGTGCTGGGATTGTCGATGAAGCAAAGTTATCTTTCCTATAGCAATGGATTACATTACCTATTTTTTCGTTTATAAGCAAGTTTTAGAGACTACCAGTAAATCATTTGTATGAGATGTATTCATTTTTTGTATTTGAGTAAAGTTTCGAGACTACCAGTAAATCAGTAATATGATATTAATTCACCCTATTTTGTTTAAGGGCTGGATGAGAACAACTTTTGGGAAAGCAAGGCAATGTGAAATTCAATGGAGACGTCAGCTCTACTTGTTGGAAAATTCTACTACCAGTCCTTCATCACCTTAAACGAAATAGAGTGAATTCATCTCATATTACTGAGATGTATTCACCCTATTTCGTTTAAGGCTTATAAACGAAAAACTTGTATTGGCCATTACAATCGATGTTACTACTTAAATTCGATGCGAGTAGTTTACGAGTCTATCAGTAAATCTTGAATGATAACTCACCCTTAATCTCATTCTAAATTGTATTCGTATGAAATATAATTTGACAGCTACAAGTTCGCCTCCTCGACTGCCCCACTTTAATTGTGCAACTTGAAACCATGTCGACCTTGTGGTTGTTTGTGGCGCTGCACGGGTCCAGTCAAGCCAGGATGAGGGTACTGTTTGAGATGCAAGGCCAGCTCATTTCATTGAGGGAAATGTCAACCTCCCAACATTCATCATCTTTTGTGAACATGCATGCTTGCTTAGAACTCGTATCCGTCTTTAACTTGCATGGGCCACTTGTTTTTCATACTTTTTTGCTCTACTTGCACACCCCATTTGTGTAGGCCAGTGAGCCCGGTCGTCTGCTTCATTGCTTCCTCGATGCCGTCTCGGCTTGTCTGGCCGTCTCCGTCGCCTTTTCGGCGCCCGGTAGACCCGCAAAGGAGGCCGTGACATGCACCAACGGCGACGCTGGCGTCACGGGACCGGCCGACGACCAAGCCGGACTCTTCAGGCGCTGGTTGTCGGTGCCCGAGGCGACGGAGTCGAGCGGGCAAAAGGGGCCGACTGGAGTGAGCATATTCACTGCTCGCCACCTCTCGGAGACATGCGCCAGTCTCCTACTCCTCGCCGTCGGCAGGTTGACGTCCAGCGAGGCGGGCGAGGCCTGGCTCGAACGGACCGGCTTGGCGGGGCTCTTCTTCGACTTCCTCCTGCCCCTACGCAACTCCACCAGCC